GTATCCAAAGGAACACAGCGTTACCAACTTTAATAACTCCTCATCGTACACTGGGCCTGTGTCAATTCTTTCTATCACGTGTTTAAATCAATTCCACTTAATCCTTACCACTGCTGCACATCATGTGTATTATGAACTAATTTTATTTTGAGACAGATCAAACAAATTCAAATTAGTAAAATAAAATATTAGTGTTAAGTTATTAGAATGAAAAAAATTAATTACGAAATTTTCCAACTTTGGTATGTAAGTTTCAGTTGACTTATAGTGCACAATAAGAAATGGACTCGCAATACCATAATGTGAGTATTTCTTTTTTTCATCCTTTGTCTAGATGCATTTATTTCATCGGCACACCTTCTCACCCCTTAAAAGCATACCATATATATACAAAGTAACTTTACAACAACCCTATACATCATCGTCCAAATTAAGTTAATTTTACGTACTGTTTACATTTTAAAAAAATAAAAAGTTGTTTTCTTTAATATATGTATATGTGATAAACTAATATACGCAAACTTATAATAATATTTTTTTCATGATTAATTAATATATATTTTTCTTTTCATGTCTTTGGTTTCGATTTCAAGTTCGTGATGGATGTCAAAAAATAGAAGAAAAAAACGTATTTAAATTATATTGGTTATTTTTTTAGTATAGAATTTAAGTGATTGAATGTTTCAAGTTTTACCATAAGTGTTAATGCTGTGATTCCAAGTTTGTTGAGTGACATCCTTAAAGTTAATCAGTTGGTATTATTTATTTTAGAGTATTTTTTGTTACGTTTTTATTCTTAAAATACGTCTAGAAGAATTGAAAAAAAAAATTAAACTGTTATTAGTCCTCGATTCTTTTAAACCTTAACTCTAAACAACATCAGAATATTGAATATGATAATAATACTAACTTTTGTATTTTTCTTGTTATTTTTCTCTTTTAGTAATAGTCATATGCGAATTCTTCCTCATTCCTTATAAGTCACAATTATATATATTATAAGTGTAAATATTAAATAAATTTGAATATAAATTTTGACAGTATAAAATGATTTAATTTTTCTCAAAGACTGATATGAATATAAGTTTTTATGTTATACTTTTAAAATACATTTTTATTTCAATTTTTTAGATTTTGCATAATGAAGAGAGGAGAAGAAAAACCTAGTTGCTACCTTTTGAAGACCTGCAAGCAATTTATTCCTGGTAAAAAATTCCTGACTTTTGAACTTTCTATGCCCCATTTGTGTCTTAGTTTCTACTGTCAGACTGGTTAGCTAAGGATTTGTGCAAACCATAGGAGACATACAGCAAGCAGAGTATATAAAAGATGATTTTGCGAATCTGTTTTACAGCCAAGCCCAAACTATTATGCGTTCGACAGAATGTCTTTCCAACAGTTACCCTCTCATTCTTAAAGACCACTTTGTTCCTGAAATTCCATATGCTCCAAATAACTACTACCTACATCCTATTTCCTCTGTCAATTAAGTTAAATTGTTGAAAGTTCTGCCTTGATTGGTTGTGATCCTACAGTTTAAAAAGTTAAATCATGGACTCATTCTTCCCATAAACCACCCCATTAAATATAACAGTTCATGCAAAGTGTTGGATAAAGCTTCTAACTATTAATTTTTTTTAATTTTATTTAATTTGAATAGTTTGAAATTACATTTAATTTTTATTTGATATCTAATTAAGATTATATTTGTATTACATGTTGTATGTTGAACGTGTTCGTTGAGTCCGAGAGTGTTCGACCCTCTACAATGTTTTTAGAAGTTATTATTTTAAGTATCAATGTTATAGTTGTATTGTGCCTTAATTTCATGTTTAAAAGATTTAATATAAAGATTGAATTATACTTTTATCTTTAATTATTTTAAAATTAAAGAAAGCATAAAGAAAATCATTATGCTAAACTTGAATTGAGCAATTGCAAAAGACACACAGATAAGACTAAAAATTCCTAGCTTTCAAGAAGAAATTAGAAGATAAAGATTATTCTATATACTAGTAGAATTGTAGAGAATGGTTTGTAATAGACTAAATTTGACATTTATTGTTATTATTATTAGCATGATGAGTCATGATGGAGCTTCTTGAAAAGGTTGTGTGATGAAATGAGGATAGATTGAATTGAAGTATTATTATTGTGATAAATTGAGTTAGAATTGTTTTATTATAATATCACTATTTTTATATAATTTATCTTATACTTATTATTTGAATGACAACGTATTATAAATTATAATTGAACCGTATATATGAACCTATATTTAAAATTAATTATTTTATATTTTAGCGACAAAATTTTCATAAAAGTTTGTTAATCGAATCTAAGTTATACTTAAATTTCAAAATATGTTAAAGATAAAAAAAATTAATAATAATTTGTAAATATTTAATGAATTATTTTTTCTGTTTGGATTTTCAATATTTAACATGGACAATGGACTGATGATATTTCATTTAAGTTTCTGTAATAGACTTATTTGTTTATTCTTTCTCAAAATAAGGATGTTTAAACATTTTATTTTGTTTAATATTAAGCTTCTTATACATTTATCAATACTTTTAAATATATTATTATATTTTATTATATATTTAGCTTCACCATATAAATCTACATCTTAATTTCAAACTAAAAAAAATACATATTTAAAATTGTAATTTGTAAGTGAAAAACATTGTTGAATTAAAGAAAAAATTAAAAAAAAATCAAAGACCAAATCGAAATCAATGTCAAATTTTAAAATTGAAAATATAATTAAGACAAAAATAATAATATTAACATGTTACAGTATTTATTTAATTATTCATTATTTTATTTTCTTACTTCAGCTACATAATTCACAAACAATATTCTTCTTGGACAACTCGCAAATACTACCACATTTAAGTTTTCTTAACATATTTTCTTAACTTAATTTCAAAATTATTAACTTAATTTCTTAACTATATCTTCATTTCAAAATTCAAAATTATTAACTTAATTTGTACTTGGTAAAATAGTGTAATTTTTTTAAGATTTAAGATAAACTTTTTTTACAAATTTCTAAGACCAAATCTAAACTAACCTAAAATTTCACAGTAAAAAATATAATTAATACAAAAGTGCAACAGTATTTAAATTAGTTAATTTCTTTGTTTTAATTTTTATTTTGTATGGATAATCCACAAATGATAACGTGGTTAACCCACAAATAACACTTCGTACGAGTTTTCCTGATATGTTAATTTGTCTATTATCACTCAGAATAAAGAACAAATTTATTATTAAACTTCTTAATGATATTTATATTATTTTATATTTAAACTTGTTTATTTATTTAATTAAAGGAATAAGATATAGCTATATATTTAACTTAAGCGTACAAAACATTTCCCATCATGAACTATTTCAATTAATTTGAGGATAAACTTAATAAGTTAGTCCAGTATTATGTACCAATATAGTTTGAAGTATATATTTTTTATTTTATGCAACATTATATTAATTTTCTTTTACTATATATATAATAATAAAATATAATTGTAAACGTAAACCATACGAATTGAATCGACTCGTAAGTACGAAAGAGTCCAATGTCAGTTCAAATATGTCATGATTTATAATGCTTATTCATTAGATAAAACAATTTAAGAATTCTTGGAAGTTTAATCAACAAAATAAAAATATTACATCGTTAAAATATTTTTTTAAGCGCAGTAAATCAACATATAATAAGTAAATATAAATAATATAATTTATAATTGTTCTGTTAATTTTTTTATCAAACACTTGTTAACTTAATTAAAGTTTTAGGTTTGTTAACTTGCATTTAGAGGCCCTTTACGTTTATATTTAAACACAAGTTTGGCTAGAATTTTGACGAGACTAAATTAGCCTTAAAAGAGTTTTATAAGTAGATGAAGATTAAACCACATGTTTAGGAAATAAAAGTCAAACAATTATTTAAGATTTAAAAAAGAAAATTTGACTTTACATAAACATGTATTCAATCCCAATGTACCTGTTATATTAAGAAAGAGTTTAGTATTAATTTTAATCATGTTAATTAAAAATGCATACTCTCATTTTCACCAGAAAACCAAAGCAATCCATTAATCAAATAAGATAGGTGAGTCTACACAGTTCAAGATTTTTTGACTTGTACTTGACTTATTTAATTATCATAAGACTTTATTAAACCCTAATTCAACTCAAACACTTATTTAGAAGGTCCTAAATATATGAACAAAACATAATATTATATAGGTTAATGAATTTATGTTATTTATATTCAAATAGATAAATTCACTTTTACTAAAACCATTTTACTTCTATAATGGATTGTGAAAATATAAAAGAATCTTCTAAGTCTAGCTAGCAAAAGAGAGAAAAAGAAAAAAGACAAGATGAAAGGTGATAAAAGAGAATGCAGGTAGCTTCGAAGCAAGTCAAAGGAAGCAGATCAAACACTAGCTTAGGCCTTGTTTGGGGACTCACTCTCTAGAAAAAAAGGATCCCTATATATCAACATCATCAGGCTTTTCTCAGCTTTACTCCTGATCGATCACAATCATCACATGTACCCTTTCTCCAACAGGAACATTTATCCATGCCTTTTCTTTTCTTCCTTTCTTATGCTTTAATCTTCCTATTTCCTCTCATTGTCTACTATAAATGCATGTTGCTAGACATACCTATGCTTCTTTCTCCTTTCAAACTAAAAATAACACCCAAAAGGCCAATGTGTGATCATAACTAGTTGACCAGATGGACGTGTGAGGCTTCTTGAAAACTTTATGTTGACAATAGTTGTAGAGGACTTGGAATTTTAACTGGCATTGAACCATTCAACAAGATTACATTACTTGACATCACACACACACACACACATGCTTGTGGAGGAAACAAAATGTATCTATCAACAGAAAAACTTTGTTAATTTGAAACAAGTGAGAAATCCCCTTTTGCCTAACAATGATGAAAATAATATCTACAAAATTTCAGACTTTTCTTTTTGCAATAGTTTTATAGAAGACTAAAGGAGCACTGTCTGCTATGAATCATCAAAATTAAAATCAGAAATAGCATATGGAAGTTACAAAGAACAAAATGAGCAATAACAAGCAACCATAACAAGCCTTACACAATCAAACAAACCCTCTCTCTGGTGATAACAAAACTCCATCAACTCCAAGGGCTTTTTAGAACAGAACTTTCATGACAACCTTGCTGCTCATTTGCAATCTACCCCGGCCTCAGCAGCACGGCGAGGCTTGTTCTTACGCCGGCTCCCATTCTGCCGGAATCCGGTAGACTTTATTGAATCATCAGGGCCTGACTTTGCTAGGATGCCATTGTCGTCTTTCATTGGATCTATCTTTTCTTTAACCTGTGTAGATCTCTTCCTTTTCCTTTTATTTATTGTGATAGGTTGAGTTTTCAACTCATTGGTAGAGCCATTATTACCCTTGACATTCTCCTCATCTTTCTCTATAGTTTCAGCTACTTCCACTTCTTCAATTTCATCAGTCAGTGGCTTCAGAGGTCTTCCTCTTCTTCTGTAAGCTGGGACTTTATCCTCTTCACTTCCAGGATCCTCAGTTATAACAGATTGCTTCTTCCCTTTTCCTCTGCCTCTACCCATAGCTAAAAGCCCTTGTTGACAAAAATGAACTAAAATTTCTCTACCAAAATTCTGCGCAGATAAACAATTATACTTCAAAGGCCAAACAAAGATCATATAACTGAAACAAAACATAAGGTTTAAAAGATGATAGTTAAAACCGCACATCAATTCTTAGTGATGTGCTACTTGAAACCAATTCTTGATCACATACACTTTTTTGTTTTAAGTATCACTTGCTGGCATCAATTATTTGTTTATACTAAACCAAAAGTAACAGAAGCCAAGTTTGCAATTATAAGTTCTCTTCAGTTTCTTTACTATTTAAGGATCAAATACAGAATGCATCAGTTAAAATTCTGCTGTTAGTCAAGATCAAGGAATTTAGGATACTATTGACATATGATCTCTCTTCACATGGAAAACATAAAAAACTTAAACACCGTTTGGAAAACTCATTCCAGAGGATGATTCCTTTTGTGAATGATCAGCAAAATAACATGCATAAACACTCGACTTGCACGATGCATCCCACTATTTCAGAAATTCTGAATAACCAATTTCAGAACAACCAACCAAAGGACCAAGTTATCTTAACTTTCACCAAATAAAAATTACAAACGCATCAAACAGTGAAAACATTGCATCGCATTTGAAATCATTTTCCTTACCAACAAACTGAACCACACCGCGGATCACCTAATCGTAAACCGAACAAATGAAGCCATCCTCACTCTCAGGCAACAACTAAGAAACCCAGATATAACAAAACTCGATTTCAATGTAAACAGTGTAAAATATTTCAAAGTTTTTCAACTTCGATCTAGTTCAAGCTCATGCAAACAGACTTCATAAACTGCTCTGCTTCAAAACAACATGAAATCTAACAAGAAAGAGGAATTCAAGCCACTTTCCCAGTTTACCAAAAGGATCAAAGCAAAAGAAGATAAACATCAGAATAGAAAAAAAGAAAGAAAGAACAAGAAAAAGCAAGCAATAACATTATAGATTTACACAGAATTGAGACTGATGAAGTAAGAGACAAAGAAGAAGAGAAATGAAGCTGACCTCCTATCTTGAATCAATTTTCCACATAACAAAGACAACCCATTTCACAAAATCAGATAAGAAAAATCCAGAAAGAGGATAAACCCAGATGGGAGCAGCGGTTTTCTATGAATGGCTTGAAGGAAAGCATAAACAGAGAGGGAAAAAAGGTCAAAAATTTGATCTGGGTCAAAGAAAGTGAAGATACAGATCAGAGAAGTGATGAGATGATGAGCAATATTAGCTTAAAGACAGAAACTTGATGAGCGAAAAATGTAGAACTAGGTTAGAGAGAGAGAGAGAGAGAGGGAGAGAGAATGCAGTGAGCAAAGGAAGAAGTGAAAGAATGCAGAGAGAGAGCAGAAAATGAGTGGAATTAGGATGGAAAAATAGAAAATGGAAGATAGCAAGATAGAGTGCAAATTTTCTCTCTTTTTATTATTTTTAATTAATTACTTTAATCTCTAATAGTAATAAATACCTGTCAGAAATAATAATATTTTTTGAACTAGTATTCTGTATTAAGTTATTGTAACAATAACCAAATACTGCCACAAAAAGGTTAAAACCTCTTCTTCTATATTACAACTTTCTTTTTTGTTATGCGGATGTGAATTTGAATTGTGTTTTTAAATTAAATAGCAACTACCAATATAACAGCGAATGACAAAATATTTATTATTATTAACATTTTATAACTAATATCTAGAGTAGTAAAATCTTTAACAAGGTAATTAAAATTATTATTAATAAGTTTGAAATTACTATTCCAAGATTTTTATTATAATTTTTTTCCCTCAAGACATGGGTGAGAATAAACATTTTTTACAAAAATATGAAAATATGTTTATATTTTATTTAAAAAGCTATTTCCTTTTCTAAAATAAATAAATTTTCCCATTATATTTTTATTTTTCTAAAACTAGTAAATACTTATAACGCGTGAAAAAGAAAATATATTTTCTAGATATAATATTTTTGAGAATATAAATATTAATACTATAAAATTACACACGTTTTTAATATTATACAAATAAAAATGGAAGAATGTATTTGTTTTTTTTCCTGTTCACTACCCAATTTATTTCCTCCCTCGATTATGTTACACTATCGAATTTTCCATTATGATTATTGAAGAATATACGAATATTTATAATCATTACTATACAATTATTCTTTTAGATGTATTTTATGATATACAGGAAAAGTAAATAATATATCTTTTCTAAGTCTCTTACTGAATAAATTACAAGAAATAAATATATTTAAACAAAAATATTACAGTATTTAGGTAATTAAAATAGGAGTTAATGCGTCTACCAATGTCAATTATTTCAATATTTTTTAGAGTGGTTAAAGAACTTTAATGTGAAAGCAATTATTTTAAAAATATGAGTGTTGATTGGTTTTTGATAACCTTCTCATACGAGAAAAATAATAAACAAATCTTTATAAATTAGAATTAGTTTATAAAGTAATTTGTAAAAAAATTATTATAAAATTTCTTTAAATTTTTATTTTTAAAATTTATACATAAACTAATTTTAGTTTATAAAAAAAAATATTTTTCAACATTTACTATTGAAAAACTTGTTAAAAACATGTCATATAATTGCACATATAATGGAGTACGAACATTGGTATTTTGTTCAACACTTTAATATTGTTTTTGTTGATATTAATTTGATAGAACTTTCTACTTTTGTCTTGAAGTATTAACTTTTCTAAAAGACCATAGTTTCACATTCACCTATATTATACATGATATTTAAAGACTGTGCTTTTAGAGTTTGACATTGATATTTTATTTGGTTGGACAATAGAGGAATGTCTAGTAATCTTATAATAAATTAGTCTTTCATGCTATTATATTCTCCTATGGTCTTATAGGATGATTGATGCATAAAAAATTATCATCATAAGACTATGTATCTTTTAAATGAAATGTTAGTTTTTATTATCATAGAGAGTGATCACACATTAAAAAACAACATTCTCATTCATTTGTAACTTTAAAATATAAGATTCACTTCTTTTTTTTATTTTTAGTTTTCAATGAATTTAACTAAAAGATTAATTTTTATGATATTATATGTTAAAAGTAAGTTTATTGATTAAAATTTTCAAATGTGTTTGGTTGGAAAATGATTTTATTTTCTTATGTAAAATTTTTATTTTAAATTATTCTTTGAAAAAATGACTGAAGATATATAAAATAATAAAGATTAATAATTTTCATATTTTTTTAGTGTGAAAATTTTAAGATTCGAAAATAAAATTCATTTTAAATAGTGTAATATTATGACATTTAATTTTTTTTAATATTATTTTTTTTAAAGAATACTACTTTGTATTTTTTGTGTATGAATTCGGTTTGGTCTTAATGTAACTAAGATGATAAATTATGTGATGAGTTTTCAAAAAGTTAATTTCTAACATAATTAATTAGCTATATTATATATATATATATATATATATATATATATATATATATATATATATATATATATATATTGATAGTATTTTTAACAAGATTTAAGAAAGATTATATGAATGTGATTTAATCTCTGTTCATATAAAAAATTAATATTATTCTCAATCTAACATATTATGCAAATAGGTTTATGGTTTTTATTTCCTATATAATGTTTAATTTTGTTACTTCTATTCAACGATATTCAACCGTGAGTCATTTAATATGATTTATCTAAATTATACGATGATCTTTATTTATTCAGTTGTTGTGGTTGTGTTGTTTTTGTTAATGATTTAAATCATTATCAAAACGAATTAGAGACTCTCCTGTCATTAATGAATTTTCTAAAATTCACTAAGAGAAATTATATAAACGTGATTTGAACCTAAAATACAACAAAAATTACACAATTTTCGATTCAAAACTTTTAAATAATAAGTTTATGTATCTTTTTTAATTTTGTAAAACTTAAACTTACACTTTAGTTATTTCAATATATATATATATATATATAAATTTTGTGCTAGATTATTAAAATGTAACTTACATTCCTTTAGCACAAGCACTTCACGTTTAGAGCAATTGAGGGCATTTAAGCATTGTTCCTTATTAAATATTTACTGCAAAAATAATGTTTCTTTACAATATTTAGAAGTTAATTATAAGACATAGCAACTAGCAACATTATAATAAGTCATTAAGATGGATAATTTTAAGTTCAATTTAAAGTAGTTATTATGAATATTTTTATATATAATTAATTTTCCATGTATCTGATGAGTTCTGTATTTTACACCTATTATCATTATAACACCTAATTATAATTTGTAGAATCATTATAATATGGACATCCACTAAAAGGAATTATATTTTTGGAATTTCTACTTTGTTGGTTAAACTTCGCTTTCATTTTCTTATACCTTTCAAATCATATTCAACGATCAATACATACACTTTTAGCATTTCCATACCAAAAAATGCATGCTCACACATCATGATCACCATTTTGGTAACATATATTTAAATCAGGTAAGTTTTAAAAGTAAATAAAATTATTCAATAATGTTAAAAAAAATCACATCATGGCTTTAAAATATTAGTATACCTGAAATATTATTACAAAGCCTTTATGATAAAATAAATTAAATTCATTGTAATAAATTTACTTCTTTTTAATTGAGATCCAATATGCGTCAGATTTTGAAGCTTAACTTACAAATTATTTAGTGAATTAATTAAGTATACAAATAACTTACACTTCACAATTTTAATTAAATTAGAATTGTGTATAAAACATTATTATCCTTATTATTGAATATGTTGATATTTGTACCTTTGCTTTAAAACAAATTTTGTAAATTTAATATAAAATAAAATACTGTCATACTTAAAGCAAAGAAAAATACATGATTTTTTTTTGCTTAGTAGGGTTTTTGGACCAAATATTTGAGAGATTTATTTAATGTTATTTTTTATTTTTTATTCAATTTTGTCTTGATGTTAATATTGTTTGAGAGGTGATGATATCCCAATGACTCTAAACTTCTTTCACCCTTTATTCTCTTTTTTACTATATATCAAAACATAGTTTTACTCTTTCGGAAGACGACTTATGGAAGTGCAGTGACTACAAACAAAGAGAGTAAAAAGTTAGAGTAGTCAGGAGAGAGTTATCAGCACCTATCAGCACCAATTTAATAAAAATGACAATATCAACTCATTTCAAATAAAATAAACTAAATTGAATAAAAAAATTGAAAAGTTACATTAAATAGATCCCTTAAATATTGAGGTGAAAAACCTATAAAGCCAACAAATGTTTCGTCATGTTTGTAGGATACTACATAATATAACAAAAATAAAAAGTTTTAATAAAATAAAAATGTATAATATTGCATATAAAATATTTAATATTTACTAGATTTTTTTATGAATAACTAAATGACGAATAAAAGAAAATAAAATATATTAAATACTACTTAACACACTCAAAATCAAATCCAAAATGATAAATGCAACATGGTAGTTGGGTCCGCCATAGGGCTATTGTCCCTTTGTAATGATGCCATTTAACGAGTTCCAACTTCAGTCCAAGCTTTAATCATCTAATGAAAGGACAATTCAAATTAGACACTATATTTGCTCAAAAAAGGGTAGAATTGAAAACCTAGAATTCAATGGCCAATTGAAGGGAGCCACCTAAAATAGGATTCTAAAGTTAGGATTGAACGGTGGTTAGTTAAAAGTAGTTTGGTTGCTTTAAAGTTTGTATTTAAATACTAGACTTTTGCCCCGGCAAGAAAGGCAGAAATTCCAACTAATCAGTGTGGAGGAAACAAGCCACTAATAGTTCAAGATCACTTGTTTCCTTAATTTCTGATTTTCAAAAGATAACAATTGGCTCTGTGGCAAATATCCAAAGATTACACTATTCATCATTAAGAAGATTCATATTCTTTCTAAGTTGATACGCTTAGTGTTTGAAGGTTCTAAATAATTTTGGTTGGCTCTAATATGGTACTAATTCAGCATAGTTGAAGAGGGGCAACATTCTATCAGATGCAATGTGGGTTTTCTAAAACTCCTAGACATCGTTTACCTGCTACTTACATCAAAACTTGCAGTGTCTGATTTCAGAAGCATACTGTTACATAATGCCAAGCTGCGGTGAGCATGTATGTTCCTCTTCACAATTTATTTGGCTGGAAACATAATCATATCAACAAATTTATTCAACCCAGCAAACCTGATCATCTAATTTCAATTGTGAAATACAGTTTCTCATCCTCAACAGCTCCACTGCTGGTGTGGTTCATCCTTGAGGAACAGATGTAGTCAGACTATAAATTAAACCCTAGCGATCTGCAATGTAACTGGGGTAAGAAGGTGATATTGAC